TTATTCATTTATTCATTTATTCATTTATTCATTTATTCATTTATTCATTTATTCATTTATTCATTTATTCATTTATTCATTTATTTTATTAATTTATTACACTATACCAAACCTCTCTATAACGAACACCAAGTAAATTTCTCTATAACGAATTTCCCTTTTGTCGCCCGTCTCCGATTCAATTTTTTATAATTAATTTCTCTCTATAACAAACAAAAGCAGAAAATACATACAAGCCATAAATTTTCATAATTTTTGCTTATTTAATCGTATTAGTATGGTTACGTTACATTATCATACTAATTTATTATTATTTGTATTTTAAATTTGTTAATATTAACATGAAATCAAGATAAAATAATATAGAAAAATCTTGTTCCCATATGGTAAAACGGGGGGAGTTGTGCATTGCAAATAATTTAAATTTTTTATATATATGTATTACATATTTCTTATCAATTTTAAATTAATAAATGTCACAACAAGATTACGTCGTTAAAAAAAAAAAAAAAGAAAAATCTTGTTCCCGTTAATATTAATATTAAACCCTTAAATCCGCCAGATCGAATTGAGTTTTCATTGTATTAATATATAGAAATTTAATTAGCAAATTGTTGAGGATCATCACTATTCTTCCAAATCACAGAATATCAAATAATACTTGATGTTTATTATTATTGTTTATAAATTTTTGACATTGCTACTTAGTATTAGCACGCATATATTCGACAAAGTAACCAACACTGTGAGAAAGGTAAAAGAATTTATTTGGCAATTAATCATCATAAATAATTGCTAAATAAATGTAGGCTACCACTTGACATTCTATTTTTGATAATACAAATTGGTGAATATGCGGTGGTTGTAGTTTGTATGATTTTTTTAAAAATGTAATTGGTTCTACAAATAGAGTTGTCTTTATTAGAATAAAAGATGTCATATGTGGATCAAATTTGAATGATAAATAAATAAATATGCTATCAATTAACCAATATCAATGTTCTAATAGTTTCTTTCATACATAATTATATTATTTTAATTGGGTATAAAATTATAAATATAAACATCATTTCTATTAATAATTGAGAGAAAAAAAAAACATGGAATCGATATTAAATTTTCGTGATGTTACTGAAAGTTTTAACGAATTTGATAATATTTATAATAAAAAGTAAGTAAAATAATTTATATTTGAGGATAAAAAAAATCCACTTAACCAATTGATTTTTTAGTTTAATTAAGAAGGGATTATTGTTTCGCAGTGGAGAACCAGGTAAAATAAATAAATAAATTTTTTAAAAAAAAAATATCAAGAAATTAAAAAAAAATATAAAAATTATTTAGTTAATCCAACTAAAAAAGATGTAAATAAACTATTGGATTATAACATTCGTACTATAATTGATTTAAGAAAAAGGTGAATGATTTGTTTTAATAAATAATACATTTATTAATAAAACAACCATAATAATTATTATTATTGTATATAAATAGACCTTCAAATGAAGAAGAAAATCTACTGGCAAAAAATTATCCATTGGTGAAAGGCACTAATAATGTACAAAACACTAATTTTTAGTTTTATTTTGAGTAAAAATAAAAATTATTATCAAATTAATTGGTGATGATGATATTTTAGGATGATGATGTTTCAAGATATGAATATGATCACAAAACGATAAATGTTAATTTTGCAACAAGAAGACTTCAAATGGCAATCATTAGTAGAGCTCCATGGAATATTCAACTGTATCTAATTTAAATTTCTATTTTTCTAATTTTTAATCTAACTAATTGATTTTATTATATTACTAATCAACTAAAATTCTTTAATAACAGTAAAACCTTTCTATATTTCGCATTTTGTCAAAAACATCAGGCTATTAAATTAATGGGAGAAGTTTTGACTCCAAATGGATTACACGGAATGTATATTGATCTTGTAAAGAATTGCCATGAAATAATTATTGAGGTAGCAATAATAACTATTCATTAATATTTATTGGCGGATAGAATGAATACCTAATAAACTATATTATTCATTTTTTTTAAAGATCCTTGAAGCATTAACAGATAAATCAAATTTACCTGTATTGATTCATTGTAAACATGGTAAAGATCGTACAGGAATAGTAATTGGTAAATATGAATTTGCTAAAATTAATTAATTGGTTACCAAAGTTTCTTTTCTTTAAATTAATTATTATCAAAATTTTCATTAGCAATTATCTTATCATTACTTGGCATTCCAGATGAACTTATCATCAAAGATTATTTATCATCACTAAAACATTTACAACCTATTCAATCTGAAATCGTAAAAGATTTTAGAAGAATGGGTTTACCTGAAGAATTCTCACTGGTAAACTATGAGGTAAATATTTGTTTATCTACTTTAATATTAGAATTATTTATTTATATTAATTTTACTAATAATACCATTTAGGCAATGAAATATTTTTTAGATTATGTTAAAGATGAATATAGTTCAACGTCGAACTATTTAATAAAACATGGATTTTCACTAGAAAAACAAAATTTAATTATACAAAATTTAACTAATTGATTGATTTCTAATATTAATAATCATTTCTAACTAATTTATTTTTTTAATTAATTTTTTTTTTCTCCACAATAAATAAATAATAAATATTATATATGGATTAAGCCTACATGCATCATTCATCATTACTAATTGTTCATTAATATATATATATCCCCTCTCTCCATCTATTTCTTATTTGCTAGCTTACTTGAATTCATTATACGGTATACATACATTCAGCAGGTACAATAGGAACATCTTCTGCATTTAAACAAAGTGAGAGTCCCATATGTTTAAAATAAATGTGGTCAGCACTAGAAATTGTGAATATACATGGGATGGTGATTGCCTAATTACCGTAAATACGTAATACGTAATTATCGTAATTAATTACCACTTACCCTCTTTAAAAAAACTTAATTACGAAATTAATTACGGGGACGAATACAGAATAAATGCTATTTGAAATCAAAGAAACTAAAAATTTTCTATGCAACCCGTTGTTAGCAAACCTCAGAGTTCTATACCGCTCTGATAACCAAATGGACAATTAAACCCAACTGTTTAATTTTCGACTACAAAAGTGTTTTTATAAGAGAAACCAAAGAATTTATTTATTTATTTATTTATTTATTTATTATTATGTGTGAAATTATTTTGTCACGCGTAATTAATTACGATAATTACGTATTACGTAATATTACCGTAAAGTTTGAAAGTAGGGGTGCTATCTTTCGAGACTTTATGATAGATTATGACATAACCGTGAAAAATATTGGGTCAAGTTACCAGAACAAATTATAAAATTCAGTTCAGAAGACCATCGTCATATTTTTTTGTAAGCAATCAGCAAACAATACATTATTAACAAATTTACATTCTTCCGATTAAAAAAAAGCCAAGACAAAATAAGTAAGCTACAGATTTGGGGAAAAGCTAGAAATGTTAAACAAATTAGATAACAAATTGAATAAAAATTTAGAATATGCATCAAATGAAGAAGGCCTAATACTAATACTAATAAAGAAATTAATTATACGAATTATACGAATTATTCGTTTTTGTTCGTTTATTCGAATTATTTGTTTTATTCATTTATTCGTTTGTCCGAATCATTCGTTTATTCGAATTATTCGTTTTATTTGTTTATTCGAGTAAAAATTTATTTGAATAAACTTTCATAATAATAACGAATACGATAAATTATTGAGTCATGTGATTTTATAGTCCCGCGACACAAAAGAGTATCATTGCTATTTTGGGATTTGAAGAATTTGATGTTTAGTATTATGATGGAGTGCACTATATAGTCAAACCTTTTGCTTCAACGAATTATAGTCAAATTTGTGTTACTACGAATTTTTAAAAACTTGAAAATTTTGGTATAACGAATGCAATTTTTTATTGACTGTATGTATATAAACCCGGCTCTGCTCGTTTTGACTCATTCGGAGCTTTATTGTACAGTGATAGCATGGAATCGAAAAGATTAGTTTAATTATTGAAATACTGTATATATAAAAACTTCATTGATATGTTTGAGTAGAGGATTAATGTCATTCCTGTCCTATAAAATTTTTTTTTCGGAAAAACAGCATATTTTCTGTTTTTTTTTTCTGTACCCGAATTTTACACGGAAAGAGCACTTTTTTCCATGAAAATGTTTATCAACCAACAAGAAGCTAAGGGCGATGATTCGCAAATCTCTGATGTAAGTTGATTCATCATAGGGAAATTGTACAAAATAGAGTATAACCTATCTCACCTCGTACGGGGAAATTTAACCACGGTGAATTTAGCAAGTTTTCCAGATGATTGAATTTACAGGACTATCCTAATTCCACCACAGCCAGAGGAATACCAGAAAATATCTGCATTAGGTATATGTCCATATTTATGTCTTTTACATTTTTTATCACAACTTTAGTAAAACAAGAACACATGAAATCACAAAATCAGGTTTGAGAACAACAAATTTCCTTATCATTACTATTATTTCCTGCGCTGAAAAACATTTACAAAATAAATATGATGATATAGAGGCTATATGATATAAGAAAGATATGATGATAGAAAAAGCGTGATAGAAGCTATGAACATAGTGAAGTTGTAAAGATAAACGATACGAAGCCAGAAGATATGTAATCGTAGCAATCAAACAGGCTCATCAGATTCAACCTCACAAACCATTAACATATACCGGACAATTATACTCTCGATATCAAAAAGATCCATAGGAGTTTCTCCTAGTCAGGGAAATTTAACGAAATAGTTGGTAATTCTTGAGTGGGTCAATAATAACTTTTATCAAATAAATATTCAATGAACTCTAGAAAAAATTACAAAAACAAAAAATAAAAACAACAAATAAATTATAATTTTACAACAGAACAAGACCTTTTAATACCCTCCTCTAAATCAACCAATGGTTCGTAACCTAATCGTTCTTTTGCTTTTGAAATATTAAAATATCTATTATTAGTACTAAACTTGATTCTAAATCTAGTAAATCCTGGTGTGCTTCCGGTTAGGTAGGATGTTAATTCTGCTAATGATGCAATTATTATGCCAAACGATTTTGGTAGAGTGATTATATAAGATGGGTAATGATTAAATTGTGCCCAAACCATTCTAGGTAAATCCCAAAATGGTATTGGCGTACCATTTGTTATAATAAATACCTAATATTCAAAATTTTGTAAATTGTTAAAATGATAAAATTCTGAAAATGGAATAATAATATTCACTGATTCATTTAAAAGATACCTACTTCGCCGTCTACACCATTTCCCTCTATTAATTTGTCAGCCGCTAATAAATGAGCATAAGCTATATTTTCTACGTAGGTCCAATCAACTAAATTTGTATTATCACCAATTTGAAATTTGGTTTGTCCACGTTCCATCACTTTAATCAATGCTGGTATAGCCTGACGATCATATGGACTATTGTCATGATTTAATTTATTTTAGTATGGTTATTATTAGACAAGAACTAATAATGTGGTAACTTTAAGATTTTTTTTTTCCAACAAATCAAAAATATTTAAAAGTTACCCAAATATTCCGCATGGACGTAAACAGCATGTAAGTAAGCCATTTTTACCATTAGCTGCAATTACAAGTCTTTCTCCTTCAGCCTATTTTAATAAATAAATGCTTTCGTTATTAAATCACATATAAATATTAATCTATCAATAAACCAATAAATCAAAGTTAACTAATACCTTTGTTTCATTATAAACATCCATATGTTTATCAGGATAAGGATAAGTTTCATCCGCATTAATCAATTCATTTACACCATCATAAATAACACTAGAACTACTAGTATAAACCAATTTTTGAACTTGATTAGCTAAACATGCTTCAATTACATTTTTGGTTCCTTGTACATTAACCTTCCAAAACATTTCTTCGTTTTTACCATCATGAGGTGGTGACGCAGTATTAATTACACAAGTTATTCCATTTTCCTTAATCGCTTTTTCAACATCTTGAGAATTTGTTAAATCTCCTATTACATGTTTTATTTTTACCTCGCTTTTATCATCATCATCAAAGTATCGTTGAATTACATCAAATACTGTAATGTTTTTTTCACCACGTTTTATCAGTTGATTTACTATCCATCTGCCAACAAAACCTTCACCTCCTATTATCAAATAGTTTTCCATTAAAAAAAAAAATTTTTTTTTCGTCAAATGATGATCATTAAATATCACACCAAAGATTACACAAAGTTTTACTACTTGCTCAGTTAACTCTTTGAATAAAATGATGTTTTTTGCCACTCTTTTAATTTCGTATCCAGGAAAAGAGAATTATGGCTCATATTTAATAAATAGCCTTAAGGCCTCTTATAAAAGAACTAGAAGATTTAAAAGGTAATGGATTTGTTGATATATAAGTAGAAATAGTTGGATTGTTAATCAATGATCTAAAACACTTGACACCAGTTTAGGGTTTAACCAAAATATTTTTGTCATTGATGTGCTTGTTCATTTTATTTGAATAAATATTCAATGTGATTCGAATATTCAATTCATAACGAATAAACAAACAATTTTTATTCGAATAGAATCCATACTATGATTATAAGAAAATAAATAAATTATTATTATTATTATCACTATTATTATTAATTGACTAAAGAAAAAATGTCAATTGCTTTCTGTTACTGCCATCATTATTATTATTATGAATTTTAGTTGGATTGGATAGATACATTCTTGTTATATTATTCGAATTTGCCAGTTAAAAATTTTCACATGATTTAAATTAGATGCCAACCTCTCTCTGCCCATATCTGAACAATATTTCCGTCCAAAGTCATTTATTTGTCTGTAACCATTACGACCTGATGCCATTAATACGATTAACATAAGGATTTTTTTTCTGGATTAGGAATGAATGCTTGTGCAACTAAAATATGAAAGGGCTGCGTGGACCCTGCCATTAATTTTAAACATTATTCATATATAACCTTCTCTTTTGCAGGTATTTGGCCTTAAATTCTTACCATTTTTCTGGATGTGTCCAAGATTGGACACTAATAAATTCGAAGCAGATGCCAAACTTCCATTATGATATGATCTCTTTTATTATTGTCAGTCGTCACTTAAATTTTATAACAATTTCATATTATCATATCATTGTGATATATGTCATTAGATGAATTGTATATTTTCAAAGGACATTATGACTGTATTGCGGTTGCATGATTTGTTTCCCACAATATGTAGCGTGTTGCGAAAAAAATTGCGCGTGAATTGCAAAGTTGATTTTGATAAAATGCGTGTTTACATGATTACTATATTTGTATGTGTTTATTTGCTTACCATTAATCATATTTACAAAGGAAAGACCATCTACATTTTTGGTTGTATGATGCCAAAGAAATGCACCGAAAGCAAATATTCCCTTCGTACTATTTAATGTGACCTCAAAAAACTCAGAGAACAGGCACTATTTGAACATAGAGACGTCCACCAAAAGCTACACAAACAATAGCACGTTCGGGCAATTTGTTCGTTGTGACATCAGGAATTTTTTTCTGATGCGGATTTACGTAATTATTACACTATTTACATAAGTTTACGGAGGGCCCGTAATATTATGCAAATAAGCATACAAAAATTATGCAATTATTACATTGAGTGTAAATATTACATAATTTTTTATGCAAGTATTACAACTTTACATGTTAAAATTTATGGACGTAATATTACGGCGGGGAAAATTTACTGATGGTAATTATACAGTCACAACATGCCAACTTGCAATCAAAATTGAAGCGACACATAATATATCTATTACACATACAAATATTCAGCGATACATGACAAAAAAGGGATATAATGGTGCTACACCACTTGCCACCCCAATGCTCACCAGTAATCATATTGATGTTCGAAAAGTATGGGCACAAGCTCATTTTAATGGTAACTGGGATCGTACCATTTTTATACAGATGAAACAGCTTTTGACCTATTTTGAAATAAAGTTGCAATATGGTACAAGAATGGAGAAAGACCAATTAGAAGATTATCAAAAGTGATGGCTTGAGGTGGAATTTCATTTAAGGACAGAAATAATGGATGGTCCATTTATGTGAATATTTTGCAAATCCAACTACTTCCTGCTGCTCAAAAGTTATATAGTAGTAACTGGAATTTGCAACAAGATAATGATCCTAAGCACACTTCACGTGCTGTGAAGGACATTTTATCCCAAAACAATGCTCATGTCATAGACTGGCCATCTAACAGTCCTGATCTGAACCCCATTGAGAACATGTAGCAGATCATTAAAAATAATGCGGAAAGAAGAATGCCTAAAGATACTAGCGAGCTAAAGCAATTTATGGTTCAAGAATTCGGTACAAAATTTAATTAGTCTATGAAAAGTCATTGTGAATTGACATTACAAAAAATGGAAATAGAATTTCATATTAATTTTATTATATTTAATAAAGTAACTGATGTATTTGATTTTATTTATTTGTGTTATGTAATTGCTACGATATACAATTTTATTCGCGCCATTTTTTCGCAACACAATATATACGGAAAACAAAGAAGTATAATTACCATCCCACCTTTTTATTTTGTGTCTATACGCTTGGTTAAATAACTTGAAAGCAAGAACCATGGGTGAGACAGCTGATAAGAGAATTCGTGGTATCTTAGTTCTTAGTTTTTCCACAAAAAAATGCTCAAACTTGTTTAATTAAACGCGTTTTGCACAGGCACCAACAAATAATTATTCCGTTGACTCTATCTTTACTCGTCCGATTCCTATAATCACAGCGCAGGGTGCTATAGCCCTACTTTGGACGTACCACATAAGTCGCCTTCCCGAAAATACGAAATTCCAAGTTCGAGTTGCATATCTTACGAAAATGTTGGAACCCCTGGCCAAAAAGATTACAACAATGGAGATGTAAGCACTGTCCCACACAACCACATTAAGTCTTACATTTTCAACACGGAAAGGAAAGATTGTGAGGTACATTTTCGGAATATCGATTCGTTCTGGAATGGTGGCAGAGAAACAAACAAAAGATCAGTTATACAAAAACAAACTGGCGGCAGATACAAGAGTGAAGATGATGCCAACATTATTTTTCCAATGTCCCAACCAAGGCCTGCATTTAACCTGGGACAATTGCTCCGAGTTGATGCTCTGCAGGGACAAAAACTACCCGAAGACACAGTTCATATGCGCAGATTTTGTTCGAACCCCAAAATCCAGTACAGTATGATCATAACGTTATGAATACTTTATACTAGCAAAAACCCATTGGTATTGAGGTGAGGCCATTGGTTTGACGGGTTGTTGAATAGTAAAATAGTTTTTTTTAGCGGAGTAAATATTTTTTTAGGGTTAATTATCATTCTACTGACCAGTTTACACATTAAAAATACTCGTGTTTAACATCAAGACATAATAAGACATAAGGTTTGAAAAAAGGCCCCAAAAACCAAATCGGCCGATATGTATATTATAAAGTACTTTAAACAATTGATTGCTAGTCTGACTTATCGAGTTTAGATTTGTATGCAAATGATTTTAATTTATTAATTAATACTAAATGATATCATCAAAATATGGAAAAATGAACATTGACCTATTTTTTTATTATAAACAAATAACAGTAATGATACATTAAGGGGTTAAGGATGATCAATTTTACCACGGACTGTTCATACAATTGGAAAAGAATTCTTTGTCATAATTCAATAAAAAGGGTACTGTTTATTGTTAGCAAGTGTCTATTCGCCACTACTACCTTTTTTTTGTCGTGGACTTTTTGAAAAACGTATAGAATCTGAATACAAAAATTTCAATAAACTCCTCGCCAACTTGATTTTTCAATGTCAAACTATAAATCAAGTCGTGCCCCAAACAGAGGGATTATATATCCAAAAAACTGTAGTGAAAACCTCGGGCAAAAATTCAAAGAACGAAGAACATCCAAAACAGTGAGTGATCGGGTTTTTTTATTTATTATAAATTATACAATTTCTTATTTAATGTAAGCACACATTACTTATATATTAATGATGAAGTAATATTATCAATGATGATAAAGTAATATTATCAATGCTGCTGTATAGTACAAAGATTTGTATGTGTTACACGATAATGTTCCTTCCGGGTTTTTGTTTGTTTGTTTATAATAAATAATAAATCTGTACTCCTTTTATATTCCA